ACAATTTGTAATATTAACATCTAGTCTTTCTAGATGTATAGAGTCTCACAAGGCATACGTTGTATATAAGTGATTAACAAATTTCACGGTGTTATTGTATTTTGAAAATGATTTTTAATGAAATTGGCGGAATTGGTAGATTGATTGCATATTTTGGTACATATTTATATAATTAGATGAAGGAAAAAGTTAGAGGGATGTAGGTTTTAGATTCTCCTCAAAAACAGCATATTCTAACCATGGATTATGGTGTGTTTTATATTTTAATATGCAAATAATAAATTTATAACTATTTGTCTTAGGGCATTATATAAATACCTTTTTATAACCATGGATTGGAAAGAGTACATAGAAAATTTTACTCTACCTCTTTACCAGAATTTTGTGTTTACTTGGACTAAATGACATAGTTTAAGAATTTGGGGTATAGCATATATAATGTATAGTGTTTAAAAATATATTTTTTAAAAGCATGGAATATCATCAAAGTATAAGTTTACAATTACATCATTGAAGATGTTTTGTCACTGTGACTGATAATTAATAATGAGCTCTAAAACTTCGTAATGTTTGGTGTATTTGGAGAAAGCATTCAACCACTTTGTAGTTCTTTGGAGTGTTAGGGTTTCTTTCACAAGAAAAGAACTCTTGATCTTAGAATGTATAATATTATTCCATATACATTTTTTGGAAGAAAAGATATCGATTGTCCTTTAAAATTTGATAGCGTGAATATTACTATTGTCTAGACCACATCTGCATTTACTGCATAAAACTTTTAATCATGTAAATATTTATTTGTAAATGAATACCACTTGAGATATTCTTTCAAGGATCCAAGTTCTCAGTATTTAGTTTATTGATTTGTGTTTTAGCATTTTTAAGTTAGGAACAAATATTTTGTTGTAAGAACACACATGTTTGAGGTCTCATTGCTAGGATAACAGATTAAATAAGGCCCATAACCATTTTGTTTCTAATCTGTTTCCATTTTTATTCATTTATGTAAGAACAAAACAGCTGATGATTATTTTTGCATTTATAAAATGATCTTGTATATTTCTGTTGCTTGTATGTTGTTGGATAATGAAAAATGTCAAATATTATTTCCAATACACAATAGCAATAGTTCTGATAAGCATAACTTGTTTTGATTAAAGTATACATCAGTATTTTATGAATGGCTCTTTGAAAGTGAGAATCAAATTGTTATAATTTACAACTAACATTTCATTCTGTCTCAGACATATCCCTTGAAGAAAAATTTCCCTTGAAATTTTCACTTGAAAAATTATGCTAATTTTATGATTATAGCTTATTCTACTTGAATGTAAATCAAACACCCCAAATATAAATATGAAAGCATTTCATTGCTTTTCATACTGATAATTAGCATGAGATTATTTTTCCAGTAATTGTGTATTTACAAAGAATACATCTAAGCTTCTATTTTTTTCTAAGTAAAAATGTTAATGACTATTTACAAAAATCTATGTTGTTTTTCAGGGAAATAATATTTTGACATTTTTGATATATCTAATAGTATATTAGAGCTCTGTGTAAAAATAACAAGTAAATAGGCATGTCTACAAATTGTGTCTTGATTGTGAATAAATATAGAGTGAATGTTATTTGTATGAATATTAATTTGTTAAGCAGTTCATGGAAAAATTTTAATACCTGTATTGAAATAACAATGAGTAGATACTTTTCAATGAGCAACAAAGGACATTTTAGAGGACTGTTTATGCCTGCATTTGTAAATGTCATGTGAATGTTGTGCTATTGTATTCAACACTTTAATTGCTATTATGTGTCATTATGGATGACTTTTTAATGATTCCAAGAAGAGCCTGATATTTAGACAGTAGTGAAGCAAATAATTAAAATTGAAACAGTTGGAATGCCCATGAAGGGAGAAGACCAAAATTGAGGTAGGTGTCAAGCACATGGTAACTATATAAAAATGATAACATTTTAATATTCACCATCCAAAATTTAGTGTTCTGACAACATCAACATGCTGCAGAAGTCATCACAGTTTGGATTCATTACAAATTAGTCTGAGGGCACAGAGAGAATGGAGTTTTGCCCTTTTTGTTGTTGTTTTATTAGGTCAGAATGATTTCAATGGGTTGCAAGAGTTTTGGTTTTTTTTTAAAGATTTATTTATTTTTATTACAAAATGAGATATACAGAGAGGAGCTTCAGTTGGTTGATTCACCCCCTAAGCGAATGCAATTTGTGTTGCCCCGGCCCAAAGCCAGGAGCCAGGAACTTCCTCTAGGTCTCCCACGCAAGTGCAGAGTCCCAAGGTTTTGGGCCATCCTGGACTGCTTTCCCAGGCAACAAGCAGGGAGCTGGATGGAAAGTAGAGCTGCCAGGGTTAGAACCAGCACCCATCTGGGATCCCAGTGTGTTAAAGGTGAGGATTTTGCTACTACACCACCACCGCAGGCCTAAGACTTTGTTTTTAACTTCACTAAATTTTAGCAAGGTGCAATTTCTGAATCTGTAGTATTTGTACTCTAGGAGTGATTTAGATTATCCTAGTGGGTAATAGTGTTTTTTGTTTTTCAACTTAGCTGATGTATCACCAGCCTGATAATTCTAATTTATATAGTGTGGAGTTTCATTTGAATGTCATTGGCCATATTAAACCTTGATATTTGTATGAGAAATGTTTACAGAAAGACATATTTGCAGATTTTCTGACAACATCCGAAATAATCAGAAACAACAGTTTTGTGATGAGTACCTTTAATTTGTGGTTCTTCTTTGATAATGAGAGGGTTCTGGTGCATTTCTATGTGATTTTGTCTAGTATCAAAAATTTTTGGAATTTTGGAATTTTCATGCATATTGAGTAATATGGGAATCAATCATATTTTTCAAGATAATAGAGTACAAATTGATATTGTTGTGGGATGCATGATCCTGCGCATCACTTGAGTTATTACCATACATAAAACATTTATTAATGCAAGAAAATAAATTATTAAATCCTTAATGATTAGAAATGATACAATCCACAGTATCAAATAATTTGGGGATGTGTTAAACTTAATGAAAACTTATGCAATGGTATAAAGATACAAGCTAGATGCTGAATTGACTCAGCTCTAGGTTCGCTTATGGAGAAATTGTTTTTGCTAGTAATGACTAGAAATGTTCCAGATGAACATCTGCTCATTGCTGCCAGAACAGTGCAGAGGAACTAGGAGAGTAGTATGTCCTTTTCTTAGAAGATTTTCTTCTTTTTCTGTGCCATGGATTATATTTTTAAGCTGAGGAATACATCTGATTTTTTTGCATATCTTTTGGATATTCTCTTCCAACTGTTCTTTCCCATTTTTTTCGGGAATACCATCTGGCAGTATGATTGTAAACGAAGTAAGTAATAGAATTGGCTGGGAGTTCAGCTATACTACTTTTCTAAGCTTGATGCCTTTTTGGTAATGAAGCTAGTTGGTGTTGGTGTGTTGTTACGAAATTGTCCTGCAATAGTGGCATAAATAACAACAATTATGTCTGGATTTCTCACTCTTAGGATGCATAGGAATTTTCTGTTTTATCTATGAATTTTTTTTTCATGAAGACGATTGAATGTTCATAGGAAGACTTCATTTGATTGTTTAGGCATCATTTTCTTTTTTTTTTATTGCATGTAATCATTCACTATTAATTCTGACCTAGATGGGCAAGCAACCAGACCCATGGACAAAATGAGTAAAATGTTTTAGAAATGTTTTAATAGTAAAAAGATCAATGATGGGGGGCTCATATCTAATGGTATCTGCTATTAGATATTAGCTGTTTTGCTATTAATGTCGTTTTTTGCAAGTTATTTTTGCTAACCTCTTGCTGATGAACAAGTTTGCTTCTAAGTTTTTTTCCAATTTCGTCTGACTTATTAGGTGAAGACAGCAAAGGAAGTTCTGTCTTTGTTTCATCAGCTTCAGCAGAAACATGATGATCTTCATGCTGCAAAGTGGGAATCCTTCCTTAATAGTATAAAGAGGAAAATCCCCGCAGATCAGAAACTGGATTTATGTCATTTTGAAAAGTAACGTAATAGCTGTCATTGGAGAGAATATTCGCTAGACATGTTGATTGCTTTCATTGTTCTTATTGGACTAAATCAAAGGATCTGGAATATCTGGACTTCATTCCACAAAGAATCTCTGTGCGGTGGAATTACCAGGGTTTCATCTCAGTGCTTCCTTAAGTATGAAGTATATGTATTTATAATTATCAGTTACTCCCCAGTGATATCTACTTTTGAAGTAGTTTTGTGAGTATCCTACTAATGATAGTAATTTGTTTATCATATAATTATATGTTAATTACAGGGTTACTGTGTAGTAGGCATCCTTAATTTCTATCTGCTTGAATTACCATTGTTAAATATATGTAATGGTTATTTTTAAGTGCATGTTCTACTGATTGGAGAAAGTACTTGTAGAATTTGAATTGTAGTTCCTCATTTCCTAAAATTGTGTGTGTACATATATATCAATATTTTGATAATGATAATGCATTGTAATATTGTTTTCTGATTATATATAAATGTTACATGATATTGCCTTTATTTAGCTGTAGTCTCTTGGTTGTATTTGTGAGAATGCATTTTTTTGTAGTCTTTCATTGCAAATGAAGTACCATCTTTTCCTTTTTTATTGTGAAGTGGTGTTTTATTTTTTTCGTTTATACAGCATTTAAGTGTTGAAAATACAAGCATTTTCCTCTAGTCGTCTTGAATTAATTTCTTTGACAGCATATTACTGTACCAGTATGGAATTAAATATTCATTTTTATTTTTATTCACATTAACCTTCATAGTTAGTATCTGTACATGTATGTGATTGAATTTCTTGTATTTGCTTTTCATTCTGTTGATACTTGAATAATTGATGATTTACACTGTGATAACTAGTCTGCTGACTGCTATTTCATTTCTCTTCTTTTGCAGAATATTCTCTGTATATGCTTGTGTTGACTACAGTTATACTGAAAGTTGGAAAAATGAAGTTTCAATTTCATTTGCACCAAATATAATAGATTAATTAGGAGAGAATAGATGTCTTTAAAATTAAACCTTCCTGTACAACTGCAAGGTATGTGTATTCTTAATTAAAATATGATTTTGCATTATTGTATAGTGTTTTGATTCCAAAGTACTTAATAGATGTGTTAATTTAGAAATTGATACCAGTAAGTGCATTAAATTATTGTTATTGATGTTTTATTTCATAATTATCTGATTTATTATCTAGATGAAATACACTGGTTAAGTACTCAGAATATACCATAACATGGTGCCCTTTATCCTTTAAATCTTAACAATAAATTAATTTGAGGTAGTATTTTAGGAAGCTTTTTGAATGTTCACTAAATTTAATGGTAGATTTAGATTTATTTAGCATTTTTAATTCAAGCTGAATTATTCTTTTTCTAAAATAGAATGTGTATTTCATGATAAAACAGTGCAAATGTTAGTATATTCTGTAATTTTTTAGAATTATTTATTTTGATCATTTTTACGTAGTTAATACATAGTTAATTAGGGTAATAAGGGTCAAGGGATAAAGCAAGGTGGGTGAAATTGCCATTTCCACATTATCTTTTTTTTTCCTTTCCTGTATCTGGGAGAAGGGAGGAGCTGAGGGGAAGCCACACCTAGCATCCCAAAGGCCTCTGTCGTTTTTGTGATGTGATACTCCTTAGTTAAATAACTGATACTTATTTATGATACAGTTTTAAGTGGTTTTACTTGTTGGTAAATCATTGCAATCTCAGCACTGTCTGAAATACTAGAATAACAGAAAATTTTGTGTTTTGGAATGTTCAAAGTTGCTTTAGTTTTTATTTTTAAGTGTCTTATTAGCAAAATGATAATGTATTTGAAAGCTGCAAGTTTATGAAAAACCAAACATTCTTCCCTGACTGGTTTCCTTATCCAAGCCAATTTCCTTCCATTCATTTCTTCCTTAAATTTTTATAGTAATAGTTCAATTTACTTTATAATCACAGGCTAATATATCACTAAGTAATAAGCAAGTAGTTTAAAAAGTTGACAGAAAAAGTAAAAACTGCAGGAGGTGTAAAGTCTTTGTACCTCACAGGGGGAAAGCCTCCAAATGCTGCAAATCGGAAGGGAATATCTTTCATATACTTCAAGGCAGTTTAGGTCACTTTTGCATTAGTCCCCAGCTTTACTTAATATTCACATTTATTTAATTACCTAAATAAGGAAATAATGCTGAAATGCTAGTGTTTGCAAATCCACACACTATGTTCATATATACAGTTTTAATGTAATTTTTCATTGGTCAAAGATTTGATATTGTATCAAAGTTTGGATGCAATTGTCATGGGTCTCCTATTGGACATTCCCATAGGTCCCATAGCTTAATAATTCTTACACTTTCATAGTTTCTATAACATACCTGAATGTTAGTCTTTAGTTAATGAAATTGAGTTTACCAGTTTTTATGGAAAAGATATATTAGAAATTATTTTGTGTTTTTTTTAATTTTGATTTTTATGTGTAATAATTGGTACTGCAAATGTTTGTCATATTCATTTTATTTTAGCATACATGAAGTCTGTAATTATTCTGTGGTGTTAGATTGTCATTTTAAATATTTTAATTGTATATTTTGGAATTAGGTAGCATAAGGGAAACATGTAATTTTTCTTGCCAAGTATTTATATTTTAACTAATGTATATTTTTCCCCATGGATTAAGGTCCTCAGTATCATTTTGCATTTTGGTTTTCTTTCTAAAACAAATTTATTTGAAATGGAGAGATCCCATACACTATTTCACTTCTCAAAAAACTAAAAGTGTTTGAAGCTAAGTTGGGCAATCAATATGTATTTTTCATGTAAGTTATAGGAACTTACCTGAACCATCACCAGTTTCCTCCAGGGTTCAAATTACTAAGAAGCTAGAATAAGGTACAGAGTCAATGTTCAACCTTGGCAATTCCCACTGAGGATGTAGATATCCAAAAGCTGACTTCAGTGTTGTCTGTGCCAAAATATTTCTACCTTTTATTATTTTAAGATTTTTATTTGAGGCTTATTTTTTCTGGTTCACTCCCCCAACATCTTTCTGATACGAGCAAAATGAGGTATCCAGAAACAGGTTTTGCATTAGGAGGAAGCTGGAGCTAGAAACCAATAATCTAGCCCAGGTACTCTGATGTGCAGTATGTAGATTCTAGCTGTCAAATTCAATGCTTCATTCTCATCGTTTTTGCTAACTGTAACGGTTGCGGCTATTCAGCCTTTCAGAAAAAAATGACCTCTGTGTCCTTTTAATCTTACTAAATCTTTCTTATTAAAACTTTGTTATAATCTTATGTTTTTTGAACATTGAGCAGCACTTAAGTTCCTTTTTTTTTCTCATACTGCAATTATGGAACCATTTATTTGTCCTGGATTGTGGCATTTAGAAAGCAAGGTCAGGTGCTAGACGCTTGTAAACCCCCCACTGATAACTGGCTGAACATGTGTGAATGTGATTTATCCATCCCCCAAAACATTGTGAAAAAGCACATATAATCTTAAATTTATTTATCTAGCATTTGCGGGTATACAGGACTGGAAAGTGTGCTCATGGGATGATATATAACCCAGAAGAGTGCTGTGGAACACCAGTTATTAGCTTCTCACATGAGTTGATTAAATTAATAACAAGAAAGAAAATAACTGTGGATAAATGAATTAAAATACATTTGTGGGAGAAGGTGTGATAGCTGACATAGCAGTTTGGCTCCCAGCATGCCAGAATTTCACAGCAGAGTGCCACATTAGATAGCTGACTCTGGCTCCCGATTCTAACTCCCTACCAAGGAGGAACTTGGTTGACATTTTACATCGAGTTTTACTGAAAAAAGAAAAAAAAAAAAAGAAAAGAAAAGTCTCAGCTTTTAAGTGCACAAACTCATTAATCTATAGTCACCCTCCTGTTCAATAGAAAACAACTTTTTATTACAATTGTAAGTGGTGCTAATTATTTGACTTTCTCTCCTCTAGCTTCTGCAGTCTTCAGTAGCTGCCATTCCTCCTTGAAATTTTATAAGGTCAGTTAATTTTAAATTCCACAGATGAGTCATAGCATGCTTGGCTTTTGTTATTTTGTTTAACGTTATGACTTCTATGTGTTAGAAATGATAGATTTTACCTCCTGTATGTATGTGATTTTTTACATTTTTATCAGCTGAACAGCATTTAGGTTCTTTACATTTCCCTTCTCATGTATAAAGTTGTATAAACATGGGAGTGAAGATGCCTCTTTGGCAGACTAGTTAATGTTTCTTCAGTACATACTGAATACTTACATTGATTTTTTATACAGCAGCTGTAGATGTGCCTTTGAGTATCCATATTATTTTGCACAATGGCTGTGGTAATGTACTTTCCAACCTAATGGGTCTAACTTGTGTTCCTTAAGTTCTCACTAGCACTTACCTTTTTTCTTCCATATAATATCCATTTTTACTGGATATCATGGCTTTCTCACACTTTTAATGTGCATCTCTCTGATGATCACTTTGTTTTTTTCCGAGGCTTCCTGAGCTCTTGTGAGGGTGTTCAAATTGTTATTTGTGTGTGGAAATAATTGCTGAAGCATCTTTTTAACCACTGCTTCACTCCACCTCCTTTAAAAGTATTTTGGAATGCTCTGGGAGAACAATCTTTGTATGATTTAGTCAGTGCTAGAATGATTGGCCAAATAAAATAGAATGTTAAATTTACAGGTGAGAGTAAATTGAGGAAGACTGATAGAATGAGAACAGGTGATGCACAAGTTGATTGCTTCTTGGGTGGGGCTAAGAAACATCATTGAACTGTAAATGCAAAACAGCTTGGAGAAAAGCATTTCCTTGGATAGGGAGCATTGAGAATGACAAATGAATGCAGGAGGATTGATTTTATATGTATGTTAGTTAAAGAAATTGGCATAGCTGGAAAATTTCAGATATTTAAAATCACAAGTATTTCTCACGTAGCAGTTTTCCATCAGCAGTTATTAGGGAGCCTGTGTTCATGAGAGGCTGGAAGACAAGGACAGTGATAATTCATTATGAGAATGGGAGAGATAATATAAAATTATCCTATGCATGATAGAACACTGATAAAATAGATTACATGGATATCTGCAATAGGTATTTCGCAAATGTATTTATCCTGTGCTTATGAACATAAATGATAAAAAAAACTTGTAAAATATTTTTGTAACTGATTTAAAATACATCACCATAAAATCAAATGAATCTTAACTTGAATTATGCCACATTATATAACTTGTCATAATTCCTTATAGCCCAAATATGCAATAGCATAAAGTAAGGAAGCAAGTCAAATTTAAAGAATATACTGGACATTACTGATGTGTACTGTAGGACACCTCTATGGACACAAATTCTGTATTTCTTTTTTTCTTATCTAGTGCATTTTAAACCTTTCCCATTTGGAACAATTAAAATAATTATTCAACTCCTAATTTCTCCAAGTTATACATTTTTATGCAGTTGTATAGAACTTTGATTGATATTAAAATATACAGGTAGAATAAGTTGTACATATAATTGAAGCAAGTGTGGAATGCTATAGATGAAGTGAATTCTTATTTTTTTTAGAATGAAATTTTTTTGTTCATGTTTGTAAAATGTTGTGACTATCAGTTAAGCAAAAGCAAAAGCCATTCATAGTGATTACAGTATAAAAGGTAGTTTTATTTTAATGATTGGAGACTTATTAGAAGTTGGTAAGTGAACCAACCACACCTGTGGATAAGCTGTTTATAATATGTCATGATTTCCCAAAATTTTCCACAATTTTAGCTGAGGTGGTTCGAATTTGAAAAATGAGAATATTAGATACTTTAAACTGCACTTGGGTATCAATTCGAATCACTGTTTTATTATTTTTGGGACTTCATTCTTCAAAGGTGCTGGTAAGCAGCAGTCACTCTGGAGTAGTAGTTGTTTAAATTTTTGCCAGTTTGAGGTGGATTCAACTTGTGTTAAATTCCTATATATAAAAATTTCAGAAAATTTAAATGTAGAATAGATAAAGAAAATCCTAGAATTTGATACATTGTTGATACTGTGAGTTATAGACTTTGATATTCTACTTCATCAAATAGTGTTTGTTTCTTTTTTTAATTGGTGTAAAGATTGTAAAACAAATGCATTAGAAAGAATTAGAAAGAACGCAGAAGTCAGGAAAATGTGATATGACAATTCAAACTCTAGAGGAATGAATTTTCTGCATTTAATATACTTGGCAGTGACAGCATACGGCTTATCTAAGATCTAGGTGCGTGATTTAGGAAATTAACAAGAAGAGCAGTGACTTTTGCACGAGCACACAGGAGCTAAAGGATATTCCATTCCCGGAGTGATAAACATATTTCCTTAAAGACCTTTAATTTGATGACTGAAAATTCTTCAAATATTTTCAGGCATTCCATTTTGTCTTTCACAGTGAGGAACAAAAAAATCTTTCCTACGGGTAATAGGATTAGGTTGTACTGTTTTGGCGATGCTAACGATTAGTTTGTTTTAATTGTCTTAAATTTTTTCTCATAAAACCTGTATGACCTGTTCAGGTTATTCTGAAGCTATTGACAGTTTTGTGGTTCTTGTCAGACAACGCTTAAGTCATGAGTTAAAAATGCAAAATATTTTGTTATCTTTGAAAACACAAGAAGCATCCATGAAACTATGGATAAAAAATGTATGAATTTTTGTGAATATGGGTTGTGTTTCTAGAAACACAGGATTCCCATGAATGTTATGGAATAGAGTGTGCCTCAGTGCTTGTTTGTAACCTAATCATTTTTATCTGCTGAAGTGGTTTATGAATTGACAATTAGAAATTGCACTAGAAATAGTTTTATAAATTTTATAGGTAGTTGAATGTTGCAACAATAGAGACGAGGAGGTAAGTACTGAATGCACAATGTAGCTTAATTGTTTTTGCAAGTTGATGATGTTTACGATTGAGGTAGTTCTGCATTGAGTATCAGAAAGGACCTAATTTGCTATTGACTTTATTGAAGGATAACTGCTATCTATTTCCATTTGCAGCTCTGTACTCTCCCAGGTGATGATTCTGTGGACAAGAGGAAAATGTACATCTTCAGTGATTTCATGCATAGGATCACCTGCATGCTAACATTATTTCTCATATTTGGAATTTTACTCTGTTTCTGTATCTGTACTTTTATAGAAATATGCGTACAAATTAAAGTGAACTGCTCTTTGGCAAGTAATTACCTAAAGGGGTACTACTTTCCTTTGCTCAGTTGTCCTGTGCTTGTTCATACTGTTGTGTTTTAGCACAATGCGTTTCTTAATGCATATTTTATCTTGCCAGTTAAAGTGAGCTGTGAACGCAGTGAATGTAAATAATGAATTCTGTAGAAAACTTACTTATGTCCCAGATAGTAGCCAGGATTTGTAACAAGCTGAGTGCTTGCCATGCAGAATTTTTGTTTTTGAACTATTTTTTCCTCACTTGGATAAGAAATCTGTAATTTTTAGGGTGGATACCAATTGAAACTTCTGTAGTTAATCCTCTTTTTTTGCATTTTTATTATTATTAATTACATTGTATTATGTGACACAGTTTTATAGGTACTGGGATTCCCCTCACCCCTCCCTAACCCTTCCCCCATGGTGGATTCCTCCACCTTGTTGCATAGCCACAGTTCAAGTTCAGTTGAGATTCCTTCATTGTAAGCATATACCAAGCATAGAGTCCAGCATTTTATTGTCCAGATAAGTTCAATGGCTTCTTGGCGAGACCTTCTCTGGTCCTCATTCAGCTGGTGGTTGCAGTTGCTGGGTTGGTTCCGTCTTGAGTCTCAACTTCTACTGGATTCAATGGGTGTTGTAGTCTGTCCTGGTTCTGCTCGTCACGTGCTTGGCCATCACACCAACCACTGGGAGCTGCAGCCTAGTGGGAGCCATCCCCAATAACCCCCATGTGGCCCGCCCCTGCCCTGATTTGCCACCATGTGTAGCAGCGTAGTTCAGTCTGCCCCATATCCCATTGGGCTCTCGTAGATGCCAAAGGGTATTGGAGCCTAGTTCCATCCAACTAGCTCAATTGTCCAGCCCTCAAGGATATTGTTGAGTGCCTCTCTGTCTAGCCAACCCAGCCCCTGTCCTAGTTGATATTGTGCCCTCTCATGAGAGTGTTGACCCAAGAGGGGGAAGCCCACTATTTACCTCCCAGGTCACTCTCACTCTTGATTGTTCTCTCTCCAGGTGGCCCTGTGGTTGGACTTGACAGTAATGGCCCCTAGTGCCAGCTTCTGCTATGGCTAAGCCCCAACAGCTCTCACCGCCTCCCTTTTTGTTAACACTAGTAGCAATAGTCCGCCCGTACTGGCTCTTCCCTGATCTGGTCCATATGAGGCTCACAGATTCTGCAGCCCTACCTAGTCTGGTCCCAGCTCATGCTCTCCAGTGGTAATAGCTATCCAGCACGAGAACCACGCCTTATTCCCCTGCTGGCTCTGCTCCCCCTTCCTGATTCTCACGTGTGTTGCTTAGGTGCTGCGGTCTCATCTGGCACAGGTAGCCTCACCTCGGTATTTTGTGTTGTATCCTGCTTTTGTTGTGACTGAACCTGGCTCCACCCACACTCTTCTCTGGCGTTTGGATTTGCCAGTGGGCGACGCAAACTGACTCAGCCTGGTCTGCCCCAACCCATGCCAAATGTATGCCAGTGGTGCACTTTTTCCGGGCTGTTTCCTTCGTGCTTCTTGCCAGAACCATATCTGGGGGTGGAGTATATGGGGGGTGTGGGCCACACACCCCTTTTTCTTTTTAACTCAGTGGTTCTCCTCTTTAGCTCACCTATGCCAGTTTTGAAACCTAAGACTTGGAGCCAGACAATAAATATAGATATTTGCTTACCGTGATGATGCTATCTTGTAGAACAGGATCTTGTTCTTGGTTTCAGTTGTATTCATGCCTTTTTAAGGTTGAAGTGAAGAAATCAATGACAAAAACGTTTTTTCTTTATTAGCATTACTTTGATTTTTTTTGTTGTTTACTGCTTAACCTAAGTGTGTTTATTTTTAAATACTGTTTAATTGAAGTTTTAATTTTCTACTTATGGAATAACAAATTTGTGCATCAATCCTATATTTTAACTTCCTTGCTAAACTCTAGATAGGTTTATACAAGGTAGCATCAGATAATGATACCTCTCTAGAAAAGTTTTAGCAGTAAAGATAATTCTAATAACTTTAGAAGTTTATGGTAATTTCTTATTTGGAAGAAAAGTTTATTGAGGTGTCATTTTTTATTTATTTGAAATGTAAATTTAAGAATAAAAAGAGGGTGAGGCAGAGAGGAAAAAAAAAGTGTTTTTCATTTGCTTGTTGGTTCATTCCCCATATATCTGCAGCGATTGGAATTGGTCTAGAACAAAGCCTGGCAACTCCATTTGTGTTTACTGCCTCCGTGGGAGTATCCCAAGCACCTTACCTGCCCAGTGCACTGGCAGGAAGCTGTTTTGAAGTGGAGCAACTAGAAATTAAACTGGTAATTATATGGGATTTCTGTGTTACAGACCATAATGCTGGCCCTAGCAATTACTTTTAACAACAACTTTAAAGTAATCGACATTTCATAAATATTTGTAGCCTCCATGTCTCCTTGCTCAGTATATTGTTAAATTTCTGAAGTACAATTTGTACATGTGTGATGCCCATTTATTTGTTCAAACTGTTCCCAGTATTAAAATTTGACAGTTGTTCTTGACCATCATGAGGAATTTATGTATCCATGCTTGTCAAACAATTCAACCAAGCTTTGAAGTGAAAGTATTGAATGAAAAATAATAATTTGTAGTAGAAAGCAGGCACAGGTGCCTGAATAGGACAGTGATTTGGGGTCTTAAGAATTGAGTAGAATATGAACATATCTAAGGGGAGAGAGAGAGGAGAGAGAGGTTTCCCATATAACAGTTCACTCTCCAGATGGTTTCAATGACTCTGATCCTATTGATCTGTATTTTCTCCATATATATATATGTGTGTGTGTGTTATGTGTGTATGTATAATTTTTTTATTATTATCTGGGCTAGTGGAGAATCTATTTTGTTGCTTTTCTCATAGACCCAGCTCTTTGGTTCATTGATCCTATGAATTGTTCTTTTGGTCTCTAGTTTATAACCTTCCTTTGATTTCTTTTGTCCTGCTAATCTTGGGATTGTTTTCCTGTTGTATTTCTAGCTCCTTCAAATGTATGGTTAGCTCATTTACTTGGTTATTTTCTGATTTTTTATCATAAACATTGATTGAGATGAACTTTCTTAACACTGCCTTGATCAAACCTCTTAAGCTTTAATACGTTGTGTTGATGGCTTCATTTGTTCCAAGCAGTATGTTTTATTTCCTTTTAGATTTCCTCTCTAACCCATTGCTCATTTAGTAGCATATTATTCAGTCTCCTGGTATTTGCATATCTTCTGGGGTATTTTGACTTATTGGTCTGCAGTCTCACTGAACCTTTCATTTTACAGAGAATACACTTTTATTTTCATCAGTAATGGGACCTTCTCCAGGATTGACCATGTTATAGGCCACAAAACAATCCTCAGCAAATTGTAAAATATCATAATTATTTCACACATTTTCTCAGACCATCATGGAGTGAAACTGGAGACAAATATGTCAAAATTGCTTTATAATTATTTACCCCATTCTAATTCCCAGAATGTTTTGTGAAGTTATGTTTGTGTGTTAGCAGATGCTAACTGTTCAGTTCTGTGAGCATTGTTTCGTGTGTTGGCGTTATACTCTCCTTCTCACTCCCCATAGTGACACATGTATAGATACCATAGACTGTTGCTACATTAGTTAAAAATCTCTGTATCCCCAAAACAGTCCTTTATTTTCTATAATTAGGATATCGTTAAGTTTTTAAGAATAGACATTTTACATTGAAATTAGGGAAATACTTAATCGTATAAATATAAATATTAAGCCCCAAATATTGGTTCTGCGGGATAGGGACACTTGATACTAATAGAAGTGTCCTATTAGTTTAGAAACTAAACTGACACAGTAAATTTACAGAGGCATGAATGTACCCTACAGCTTTTTCTGGAAAAAGTGGGAAAGGAAAGCTTCAAGGGAATATTGCAATGGAATTTCTAATATCCTTTGAACTTCACTGTTGTATGATAAATTCTTTGCAAAGCTACCAGGCTTGTGGCTCTTAAGCCAGTTTATCTGAGGAGGATGAAAAAATAAGATAATTTCAAGCCCAAAGTATACATTTGGTTAAAATATGACTGTATTTATTCAATGGTGTGAAATATTCTCTCCTATTTTATTCTACTTAGCCTATCAAATGGTTATATAAGAATGATGTTGTTTTTATTTTATTTCCATAATATAAGCTCTCAATCTTTATTTTATTTACCTTAAAATTATATATTCTTTTAAAAATATATATTTACCGATTTACTTGAAAGTGATTGTGAGAGTTTTCATCCCATTTCAGTCCTCCAAATCTTTTTTTTTTAGTTTATTTATTTTTATTGCAAAATCAGATATGCAGAGAAGAGGAGAGACAGAGAGAAAGATCTTTCCTCTGATGATTCATTCCCCAAGAAACTGCAATGGCCAGTGCTGCACCAATCTGAAGCCAGGATCCAGGAACTTCCTCCAGGTCTCCCACATGGGTGCAGGGTCCCAAGGCTTTGGGCTGTCCTTGATTGCCGGGATTAGAACCAGCACCCATATGAGATCCTGGTGCATTTAAAGCAAGGACTTTAGCTGCTAGACCACCATGCTGGGTCCTAGTCCTTTAAACCTTTAGAAAAGACAGTGCTGGAATAATGCATACTTAGGAACTAGGAAAAGCATGCTTATCTGCATGGTCGGCAGAAGCCCATGTATATGGGACTCCTGCTATTTTCTGTGGTGCATTAATGGGAACCCAGATCAGAAGTGGCATTCTGGTATGGGATGCCACTGTTACAATAATTCAATGCCAGCCACAGCAATGATAGATCCTAAAATTATTTTTTCCATAATTTCTGATTTATTTTTCCTACAAATTGTCTCTCTTAAATGACTTTAAATGCCTGAATAAATAACTGTAGCTAATTTATTAGCATATGAATGGCTTTGGATTTGGAAAATTTCTAACTTTTGAGAGGTGGGAAAAATATCTTTCATCCTTTGGTTTGCTACCCAAAAGGCTTCAATGGTTAGACCCAGGCAAGGCCAAAATCTGTAG